AGATGTGAAAAAAATAAAAACACAGTTGGAGGAATGAACAGCAGACTAAGTTATACAGCAGAATGCATAAGTGATCTGGAAGGCAGAACAATGGAAAACACCCAATCGGGACAGCAAAAAGAAAAACAATTAATAAAAAACAGTTTAAGAGGTCTATGGGTAACATTAAGCATGAGAAAACTCACATTATCGGGGTCCCAGAAGGAGAAAAGTGAGAGAAGGGGATTGAAAATATATTTGTTGAAATTATAGCTGAAAACTTCCCAACTCTGAAGAAAGAAACAGATATTCAAGTACAGGAAGCACAGAGGGTACCAAACAAGATGGACCCAAACAAACCCACACCAAGACATAACATGATTAAAATGGCAAAATGTAAAGACAAAGAGAGAATGATCTAAAGGCAACAAAAGATAAATAAATAGTCATATACAAGTTATACCTGTAAGGAACTCAGCTTATTTTTCTGCAGAAATTTTGCAGGCCAGAAGGGAGTGGCATGACACATTCAACGTGCTGAAAGGAAAAAGCCTATAACCTGGGATACTCTACCCAGCAAGATTCTATTTAGAATCAAAGGAAATATAAAGAACTTCTAGGACAAACAAAAGCTAGAAGAGTTCATCAATACTAAACCTGACCTAAAAGAAATGACAAAGGGTATTCTCTAAAGGGAAAAGAAGAAAGAATTCATAGGAAAGGGAAAAATCCAACTTGGAAAGGCAAATATATAGTAAGGACTGAGAATCAACCACTTAAATAAGCCAGTACAAAGATTGAAAGATGAAAAATAGTTAAAGCAACTAAATATCTAAAGCAAATATTAACAGACATAAAGGGAGAAATTGACAATAATACATTAATAGTAAGGGACCCTACCTTCATTGGTCAGATCATCCAGACAGAAAATCATGACCACATTGTTAGATACTGTACTATATGCATTTTTCAAAACTCATAGTTATTCACCATAAAGGGAGAGTCTTATTTTAGGTTAATTTTTACCTGCTTATTTGTCAGGATCAGTGTCCCAAGAACAAAATTCTGTCTGTGGCACTCTCTGAAATTCAAGGAGTGCCTTGGGACATGGGGTTGTTAATTATCCCAGTTATTTACAGATCAGGCAAATCAGCAACAACCAAATAACCAATGACTCAAAATGAAAATAAGTAAATACATTAAAAAATTTTATGTTCAAATCACATATATAAAATATCTGGGCTGCCCTGGTGGCGCAGTGGTTGAGAGTCCGCCTGCCGATGCAGGGGACACGGGTTCGTGCCCCGGTCCAGGAGGATCCCACATGCCGCGGAGCGGCTGGGCCCGTGAGCCATGGCCACTGAGCCTGCGCGTCCGGAGCCTGTGCTCCGCAACGGGAGAGGCCACAACAGTGAGAGGCCCGCGTACCGCAAAAAAAAAAAAAAAATCCAAAAAACTGACTCCAAAAACACTTAATGAAAAAATAAATCAAAAGACAGAAAATGAAATAAAAACACAAAATTAAGCCATAATCAAAGTACTATGATCAGTACCAGTAGTTATTTGTAGAATGGCCATGAAGGTAAGATGGTAAGAGACAAAAGAACAATTTCTCCCCTAAACTTTTATGAAGGATTGAAGTATGATGATCCGTATGGCTTGTTAATACAGACAAAAATACCACAAGGACCCATTTCTACCTCAACTCCTGGGTCAGAATTAAAGGAGAAAGGTACCAGCTTATCTCCCTTTGTCCAACACAAATTTGTATCTTGCTTCACAGACACCCCTCCAGTTCAGAGAACAGCACCCAAGCATATGATACTTACCATCTCCCACCCTCTCCTCTGCACAATAACAAAAGATACATAACTTTTTAAAAGCAACAAAATAAAATCATGTCAATAAGCAAAATTTTCTGGATATTATGCATAAACCTAAAAAATTGGTAACTTATGGAGGATTCAAAAGTATTTTTTAAAGAATGAGGGTATTCTAGGCTCAGGGAGAAAGACAGAGCTTCAATACCTGAGAGTCAAAAAATTTGAGCTTCAGTAGGGTAGAGAATGAGAAGCAGTGGGGAATTGTGGAAGGCCTAAAAAAGAAGCCTTGAATTAGGCGAGAACAGGTTAAAGGATTTTGGATGGTGTGGGGAAAAGTTTCTACAAAAAGGAAAAATACTCCACAGGCATGACTACCCTGAAAGTCTTATTCCCATTTCTGTCAGGAAGCTTTGGGAAAGGGAATATGAATCTCAGAAGAAATAATGGGAGGATTTTTCATGGGACCCTCATTTCTTAAATCACACCTCTGAAACAAGTACTCCCTTGATGTACCCCAGGGGGCCTGTACTCTAAGGAAAGCATCCCTCTGCAAGTAACTAAACACTCCCAATGCACCCACAGTGCCATGGTCTATGTTGTACATGTCGTACATTACTCCACTCACAATGGGGTCAATCACATCTAATTGTACCTGACTGCTACTCTCTGGAGGAGGATACCACACAAAGAATGTCTAGTGAGGACAACCCTGCCTAAATATCCACTCATGCTCGTCTGAAACAAACACTAAATGTTTTCAGGCAGTGAGTGGCCACTGACATTTGTCCAAAGGACCTGTGTAGCACCCACCCCACTGTCTTTCCTCATGCAACCCTCCTGAGTGTTCTCCTCTCTCATGTTGCACGTTTTACGTGACAGTTTCCAGAACTGAAAACCTTTAAACCTTTTTCCTAGGTTTTCTTGCTCATGGAAGAAATATCCTTGCATACATTACCTTACTCTTTTTTCCCATTCTTATAACAATGTACTAACAAGCAATTTACATTACTCAAATCCAGTTAGGCAGAAAATACACTCCATCACATCAACCCCAGCTTTATCTCTCAAAGATTTGAGGCCCTCTACCTGAGTTTCTTACCTCAACTCTAGAACTATAGAATAAGCAGTGAAAACACACAAAATCCTAAAAACAAAGTGGGAGAAAATGGTCTTTTATTGGTGGGGTGGAAAGAATAGAAATCCCTTTTCTTTTTAACACTCTGGAGTAAAAAAAAAAATTACTTATCAGGAGTGATCTACAAGATATATATGAACTTGGGGCCTAAGGATGCCCTTATATTCCTTTCAGCATCTGGGTTTTCTGACCCTCTTCCTGGAGTAAGGTCATTTTGAGCATGTTCTTCCATTTTTTATCTAAGACACATGCTACTATGGGCCTGTGTTTCTCTGGAATACTGAGCGTGGGACACCAAAGTATAGGGAAACAAATATGGTGAATGGATTCCGGAGTCTGGGAATTATGGGATGTTTTTACTCTAAAAGAGCTGGTAAAAAAATTCTTTTGACATAGTGGTACTATTCTGTATCTTGAATTTTATCACTATTATATAAATTTCACATTCATCTAAACTCATATAAGTGTTCACTAAAAAGAAGCTATAGTACTGTGCATACATTGAAATGTTAAACTGTACACACACACAAACACACAGCTGAAAATGTTGGAAGGAAGTTCAGGTGAGAAGATTCCAAGTCTTAAACTGGAGGTTTTTTTAGAACTTGATGACTATGGGCTGAAGATCTTTTAAATAGGGAAGTAGACAAGTATGGGAAACATCATACTTAGTTTATAATTTTCTATTGAAACAACCATGAAGATTGAGATAAAGGAAATTGTCTTGATGTCTGAAAGTCTTGAAATCTTCCTTCTTTAATAGGAAAAATACCTGGCCTATATTAATAGCCACAGGAAGCCCCACATTTTTCCAAAAAGTACAGTCATCCTTTGGTATCCACAGGGTACTGGTTCCAGCACTGCCAATGGATACCAAAATCTGAGGATGCTCAAGTCCCTTCTATAAAATGGCATGGTATTTGCATATAACCTATGCACATCTTACTGTATACTTTGTTTTTTGTTTCTTTTTTTGTTTTGTAATTGAAATATAGTTGATTTACAATGTTGTGTTAGTTTCTGAGTCAGCAAAGTGATTCAGTTTTATATATATGTGTGTGTGTATATATATATATATATATATACACACACACACATATATATATGTACATATGTATGCTTTTTCATATTCTTTTCCATTATGGTTTATCACAGGATATTGAATATAGTTCCCTGTGCTGTACAGTAGGACCTTGTTGTTTATCCATTCTATATATAACAGTTTGCATCTGCTAATCCCAAACTCCCAGTCCTTCCCTCTCCCAACCCCCTCCCCCTTGGCAGCCACAAGTCTGTTCTCTATGTCTGTGAGTCTGTTTTTGTTTTGTAGATATGTTCATTTGTGTCATATTTTAGATTGCACATATAAGTGATATCATATGGTATTTGTCTTTCTCTTTCTGACTTCAATTAGTATGATTCCGTATACTTTGAATTATCTTTAGATTATGTATAATATCTCATACAATGTAAATGCTATGTATATAGTTGTAAATACGATATAAATGCTATATAAAGTTACTGGTCCTCAGCAAATTGAAGTTTTGCCTTTTGGAACTTTATGAAATTTTTTTTCAAGTATTTTTGATCTGTGGTTAGTTGAATCTGTGGCTGTGGAACTCATGGATATGCATGCCAACTGTACCAGGATTTTCAAGAAGACTGTAACTCTTCTCAACACTATTAGCCCTTATAGTCCTCTTCCCAACTGATTGTCTGAAGGCCCACTGGCCACTTTATGTCTCTGTCCTCTCTGTGCAGATGACCCCAAATAAGGAAATACCACTTTCCCCTCTATTTACCACAGGAGAGAAAGAAAATCATAATAGAGAGGGTCCAATCTCCTACTGACACTGCAGATGTGATGAGCTCTGTTATCAGAGAGCTTGACTGCAGTCCATTGTCCAACTCAACCTTCTCTTTTACCGCCATGTTGTCTTGTGCTAGGTCATTCTCAATTTAACCTAGCAGGAATGCAGAAGCACAAGCATCAGCCATAGTAGCCATGCACTGGTTTTAGGTTGGTAGAGAGTAGCAAGTTAGACTAATTTTCACAGACATACCTGTGCACATGCACGATCAGTTTAACAGGCAGCTGCAACTCCTTTAAAACAAACAGATGTCTCAGTCTCTGATCTGAGTTCCTCACATTCAAGGATATTCAGTACTGGCAAAAGCATCATTTACAATGTCTTCAATTTCTCCTTTTTCCCCTTTAAAAAAATACACTCAATTTCTTATTGGTGATTTTTGGAAACCTCCCAGGGAAGAGAAGTCCTCTCTACATAAAGCATTATGGCAACAGTTATTTTTTTTTCTGATTTCCATCAACTCCTAGTCTCCTGTCTTGGGGATATATTATCCAGCCTTGACAGCCTCTTTGTTTGTTTGATCCCCTTTCCTTTCCACTTCTTAAACCAAAGTGTCTCAATATTTCCATGAATTTTCATCACAAAAATCCCCTGAAACAGGACAGAACTATATGGTCTGGAGGTGGGTATGGACAGTAAGAAAAGATCAGCAGGAAAAACTGGGATTGCCTTCCATGCCAAGGCAGAAGGGAAGTGTTGGAGCACTGAGCAATTGCGGATTGATTCTATCCCTTCCTAATACAGGACTTCACTCAAATAGTGCTTTATCAGAGAAGCCTTCCCTGACCACTCTATGTGAAACTGCTCCATCCCCTCCTTTCTGGAGCACTGCCCAATCCTCAATACACTTTAATGTTTCTCCACAGTACTTTGGGCTGTTGTGCACAATTCACATTCTATTCATTTACTAGCTATTGTATATCTGTACTAACAGCTTCTTGAAGTTTTGCCTCTCCTGTTCTCCTACTATATTTGTAGCACCTCACACATGGACTGGCATACTGTATGTGCTTGGTAATTTTTCAATTGAAAAATCGGTGGATATTCCATCTTGTCTCAGCTGCCACATCCATGTCCAATCTTGGTCTTTCAGATGTCCTGTGGTATACAGGACCTAAAACCATGTTGAAATTCCAACAGAGAGCCCAACAGGGAACTCTGTTGCTTCTATGAAGATGGAGTGGCATTATATTGCTGAGTATAGAGAACACCATGTTGACAGAGTCTTGCTGTTGTCTAAATCAGGGAATTTTTCTTAGCAGTATTTAGGTAGGGCTATATTCCCAGTGCATGCCTCCTTCTCGGTGGCCATATCTCTTTACAATAAAGGGTTACAGACGACTGAATGACTTATTTGGGACAAATTTTCCTCAGGGACTTCAGTCACCAACAAAGTTGTACTTGTTGAGCATTACTCTAATCAGAAAGGCACACTTCATAATACAGTATATGTGAATGGTATCTTCCTAAATAGGGCACTGCACACACCATGGCTCAAGGTAGCTTCTCTGCCCAATACACCTTATACCAATGTAGCTCTTCTCATACCTGCCCAATCTCCACTGCCATGGCATGACATTCGTCATTTTTCCATAAGAACTTGGCATTGCCCATCCTACTTCCTGCCAGATTCCATCTCCACCTGAGTAAGTTTCTCCTCACCTACTCTATGAATCCTTGGATGTTTTTCATGCCCAAAAGAGAATAAGCCCCTTCCTGGTGTTCCTTCCTCATTTAAGAAATATTTTTATTCTCTCTAACCTGTTGTCTTTCAAGTTGTAAACCCAAACAAAATAAAACAACAAGAACAAAATACTTACAACACTCCATGGTACCCCCAAATTCCTTCATTCCAAATTCACATAATATTAGTGAAAACACAATAAAACCCTTAGGAAGGAAAGGGGAGATCAGCCATGGGGTGCAAATACTGAGAGGGCAGAAATCCAATTTCTTTTTCTCTTGAGAAGAAACTAACCACTTAATATATCGCTGTTCAATTCTAAGAGAGAGATGAGCTTAAATCCTAGAGATATCCCTTTCCTCCTCTCAGCTCTAGATTATCTCGGCCCTTGATGAAAGGTCTGGTTGTTGCTAATGTATTTTCCCAATTTTCCACTCTGTGACACAGGTGCCTAGCACTCTTTCTGATGACCAACTGAACTTCAAAGAAGATGAAAGAGAGCATGTAAAGGTGACAGGAGACCACAAACAAGTCATAGTCGAAGAGAATGAGAGCCATGTTATGCCATTCCTGCAGAGAGAGAGAGAGGAAAGAGGATTTGGAAACACACTTCCAGCTAAGTTACTCGCTATGGAGAAGGGGAAAAAAAAGACTTAGGGAAGGGACATATAAACTGGACTTTCCCAAGTCCTTTTTTTTTCTTCCAATTGACTTTCAGAGTAGTTCCCATTTCACAAAACTGTTAGCACTTTCACAATTTCAATAAATATATCTGAGCCATCTGTGACCCAAGTATCTGGACCGTGATAAGGATTTTGCTACGGACTAAATACCCGGTCACTTCTTTCAGCTCTGACAGCCTTTTGGCTGCTACTTATTTCTACCTCAGCCATGCCCTACAGCCAATTATCATTATATAAGGGAAGTGTAATGAAACAGAGGATGTTCTCACCTGGTGAACAAAGAAAACAGCTGCATCCCTTCGTGCTTGTCTTTAGGCAGCAGAGTAGGAATTCAGAGTTCTCTGAAGTGGGCAGTTTAGTACTGAACCCAGCTGTATAGTATACTTGAGTATTTTGGTTCTGCTAGAGACCAGAAGACAAAAATAATATATTCCCAACTTGCCGAGTCCCTAGGCTGACTGGTCCTCTTCTCTTCGTGGGACAAGAGGCACCTACTCTGTCCTCCCAACCCCATTGCTGAACCTAACTTTCATCTTTGACCTTGGTGTCTACAAGAACCAAAGCAGGGGGAGAGAGATAAATTAGGAGTTTGTAATTAACAGATACAAATTACTACATATAAAATAGATATACAACAAGGACCTACACATATCTGGAGTAGTGAGACTTTCTGTGTAGGGTGATCCTTAGATCGTGTGAAGGAGGAAAGGAGATACCATAAGTAGTAGACACAGGTTGTACGTGGGTAATAATGTTGAGAGACAGATAGAGAAATTTCCTTCTTTTGGCCACAACCTAAATTTTCGCCAAGGAGTGAGGTGGGAGTGAAACCTGTGGCTCTGAGATGCAGGAATACCAAAACCCCTCGTTTTCTATAACCACTGATTTGGTTAAAGAGGGCTTACCTTTGCAGAGCATCAAGATTCTTGTTCCCACAGAAGAATGTAAAATTTATAACTTGCTTCCCATGCACTGTTCTAGTTCTACAGACGGTCTCCAACTACTGGCTATCTTCTTTCTCTCCCTCTGTGTGCAGGGTTAAGAATAGAAATCCAAAGGTGAATAAGAGAAAAAAAAGTCATATTTTATCATTATCAAGAGTTCTAAAGTGTAGTTCCTCCTTGCCCATCCATTTTTCACATAACTAAAAAATAAATGAATAAGCATACACATAATAAATCAATAAATAAGAGTTGAAAAGTATATATCAGACTGACAAAGCTTCGTCTAACTTAACCATGGTTAACCCCGAGTACTTTGGTGACTTCAAAGATGATTGAAGGAGAATCCAAGGAAGAGGAAATTTGGTTCTGCAGAGAGAAATATCAATGGGGAGACACAGGGGTATCATAACTTACCTCATGTTGTAGTCTCGTATGCACAGTCCCCTTTTTAACCAACTTTTAAACTCCTCAAGAACATACATATGAAGATTTTCCTAGGGTGCCCTAATTCCCTGTCTTACTCCTTAGAAGGCACATTTGAGGGTCCCTTGATGTGGCCCAGTGCTGAAAAGATGGTGCCTTGGTTCAAGGAAAGATTCAGGTAGCCATACCTCCTCTGGGACCACCATGTATATTGTACCTGTTGTACATTACTTCACTCCAAGATGTGCCAATCATATTTTTAGGCACATGAATGGTACTTCCTGGAATGGGGTACTGCACACAGAATGGCTGAAGGTGGCAATCTTATCCATACCCAAACACCCCTCACCATGCCATTTCAGTCAATACCCCAACACTCTCAGTCCATGATGGGTCAGAAGAATAGACCCAAAAGCATGGAAAACAATCATTTAGCTCCCCTCTACCTTTTACCCATCTCTGAATATATATCCCCTCCCCTACTATGCTTCTAATGGGACAAACTTTAGAACTGAGAGAGAATAAACTTTCCTCCCCCAACCTCTACCTCTGGGACTTAGAATATTTGTCTGCATTACTGTGCTGAGTTTCAACTTAATATAGTTGTCACATGAAAAGCTAGTGTGCATTCCCCAAAAGTGAGCTGCTGAGTAGAAAGGACCACTACACTCACCCATCACATCTAGATATCACAGGCCACATAAAGATCCAATTGGAAGAGAGCTGGACAGAACTCTCACCTTCTTCGCAACTTGAATTTTCCTTATACTAGCAAATGAGCCTGACTGGGGCATCCTCTGGTCAAGGACAGAGGACTGTAGTAGCAGAAGAAGCAGCCATGTACCTCATTTAGAAGAATAAGGCAGTTTCTCCCTCCTAGTCTTCCCTGTGCCCAACCCCAATCAGTTTACCAGGCTACTTAGATACTTTCACCACAGTACTTGGTCTTGGAACTGGATCATGGTCAAGGAAACATCGCTCAGCCAACAAAACTACTCAAAATATCTCAAATCCTTCTCTTGAATTTGTTGATCTCGATGAAAGAGACTAAAGGTATAATATACTCCACTGCAACATTTATATATACCACCTTCCGTTTGTATATACTTCTCTCATACCCCAAAGTTTTTCCCTGGATTGCTATTTCAGTCACCACAATGGACACCTAATACCTTACAATAAAACAAATATACCTATTTGTCAACCACCCGGCCACGTGCCATTTCTCCTTCTCTTCCTCTGTCTCCTCTTTCACAATAACTTCAAAGAAGTCATGGCCACAGCCGGACACATCAGGGGTAGTTGAACCTAAGAGCCCAGAGAAGTCCCAAACTCAACAATTCTCTACCTCTTTAGTACTCAAGGTCCAATTCAAAGGGAGAAACAACAGTAATTTGAACAAGAAATATATAATATAATAAGTTATTAACTAAACTAGGAGATTCAAGTAATGAGGGTTGGATAGCATAAACTAAATCGAATTTTAAAGAATATAGTAATACCAGATATATAACACCAGATATGTCATTATATAAAATTATATACAGTAGCCACTAACCATCAGGCAACATCTGATTTATCTCAGTGTAGGTGTCTGGTCAGTTTGTTGGTTGTCTTTTCTCATTCATGTTGCTATTTTCCTGGTTCTTGGTATGACAAGTGATTTTCTATTAAATATAAAATGGACATTTGGGATATTAATTAGATAATGAGATGCCTTATCATACTTACTCTTTATTTGTTGTTAAGCAAGCAGTCTCTCCGTTGAGGGGCAGGTAAGTATACAGGTTCAACTCCCCACCGTGCCCTGCCAACAATACACTAGCAAAAGAGGGACACTGCCTCACACTGCCTCTCTGAAGACATGTGGGTAGAAATACAGCTGCCCCACCTCAGCCCCACTGACATTATCCCAGAAAAAAGTGGGGTATCAACCTGCATGGCCTAATTACCTCAATGTGGGAAGGTAAAATCAGCTTCCCATCAGGCTCCACTTTCACTAGACAGAAAGGAAGTAGATGCCAACTCACCCGCTATACTGCTGTTTGGTCAGGGTGGACGCTCAGCTCCTCATTGGGCCCTGTCGCTCTAAGGAGAGAGGAGGAAAGAAGGGTTCCTTGGATAAATGACTAAATTTAGGGATGGGGCAGGGAAATTACAAGACAAGACTGTAGCATCTTACAGTACCAGAAAGTTATGAAGAGCTCAAAAAACCAAAGGATGGGGACATATCAAGGGGACACAGAAGCCAACCTGAAAGAGCTCCAAAAGGCCATATCTGGAATAGTAGCAGCAACAGAATGAATATTGTAGTATTTGATTATAACCCCAAATTCAAAGTAAACATATAAAGGTCCATATTGATACAAATAAATAATTCAATAAATTAATTGAGAAGTTACAAATCTTTTTGTAGAATAATTTCAAATTATGTATATATGACATATATATATATATATATATATATATATATATATATATATATATAGTGTCCCTCCCAGAAGTGTCACTTAAGCCGCCTTTTCACCCTGTGCCCACAATCCTGGAGTATAGCCTTTACTTAGTAACTAACTTACAAATAATAAAGTATGAGAAGGGAAAATATATTAATTTTTCACTGGAGATATGTGGCAAACACTAACATAACCAAGTGACAGAGGCTGACATCATCAGTGATGTCATGTATATGCCATGGGCCCCCTGATGTGATGTGATAGGCACTTCACCTCTGGTATTTTTTCTAAAACCCAATATCTTGACTCTAATCTTGAGGAAAAAAAGAAATTAAGTGGTATATTTTGAACTAACATTGGAAGACTCACTATTGTTTAAATACCAGTTTTCCCCAATTTTGTCTATAAATTCAAAAAATGTAAGTCAAATTTGCCAGCTGGTTTTTTTTTTTTTGGTAATAATTTAGCAGTTGATTCATTTTTTAAACTGTTTTATATTGGAGAATAGCCGATTACCATTGCTGTGACAGTTTCAGGTGCACAGCAAAGGGACTCAGCCATACATATGCATGTATCCATTCTCCCCCAAACTCCCCTCCCATCCAGGCTGCCACACAACATAGATCAGAGTTCCCTGTGCTATACAGTAGGTCCTTCTTGGTTATCCATTTTAAATATAGCAGTGTGTACATGTTGATCCCAAACTCCCTAACAAACCCTTCCCGCCATGCTTCCCCCCGATAACCATAAGTTCGTTCCCTAGGTCTGTGAGTCTGTTTCTGTTATGTAAAGAAGTTCATTTGTACAATTTCTTTTTAGATTCTACATATAACGGATATCATACGATATTTCTCTTTCTCTGTGTGGCTTACTTCACTCAGTATGACAATCTCTAGGTCTATCCATGTTGCTGCAAATGGCATTATTTCATTCTTTTTACTGGCTGAGCAATATCCATTGTATATATGTACCACATCTTCTTTATCCATTCCTCTGTCAAAGGACATTTAGGTTGCTTCCATGTATCGGCTATTGTAAACAGTGCTGCAATGAACATTGGGGTGCATGTATTTTTTCAAATTATGGTTCTCCCCAAAGTGGGATTACTGGACCTTACGGTTTAAATCTTTTTGGGTTATTTGTAACATCTTTATTGGAGTATACTTGCTTTACAATGGTGTGTTAGTTTCTGCTGTATAACAAAGTGAATCAGCTATACATATACATATATTCCCATATCTCCTCCCTCTTGTGTCTCCCCCCCACCCTCCCTATCCCACCACTCTAGGTGGTCACAAAGCACTGAGCTGATCTCCCTGTGCTATGCAGCTGCTTCCCACTAGCTAGCTATTTTACGTTTGGTAGTGTATATATGTCAATGCCACTCCCTCACTTCATCCCAGCTTACCCTTCCCCCTCCCTGTGTCCTCAAGTCCATTCTCTAAGTCTGCAT